TAGGTTGCCCTAAGGTATCAGAGGTAGTTTCACTTCCTTTTAGCCCCAAGATGTATTGCTACAGGTAATATATAGGCTTTGTTTGCAACAACATCTTAATTACTACAATTTGGTCCTTAGATATTGTGGGTGTCACTTATTAGAAGCTGATGTGGCATGTTGACAAGTCAATACAACCCTAGCTAAATCCTCCGTGGCAATTTGAAAAGTCAAAAGCCTCGAAAGGTCAAATTTTGAGCACTCTAAGCCCTGGCATCGCTCCAGGCCCATTAAGCCTTGAAAGATCAAATCTCGAGCACTCTAAGCCCTAGCATCGCTCTAGGCCCTCAAGTCTCGAAAGATCAAATCTCGAACACTCTAAGCCCTGGGATCGCTTAAGCCCTGGGATCGCTCCAGGCCTTCAAGCCTCGAAAGATCAAATCTCGAACACTCTAAGCCCTGACATCGCTCCAGGCCCTTTAGTCTCGAAAGATCAAATTTCGAGCACCCTAAGCCCTGGTATCTTTCTAGGCCTATCAAGCCTCGAAAGATCAAATCTCGAGCATTTTAAGCCTTGACATCGCTCCAGGCCCTCAAGCCTCGAAACATCAAATTTCGAGCAGTCTAAAGCCCTGGCATCGCTCCAGGCCCACCAAGCCTCGAAAGATCAAACTTCGACCATACAAAGCCCTGGGATCGCTCTAGGCCCAATAAGCCTCGAGAAGCTGATCCTCGAGCATCCCAAGCCTGGCACCACACCAGGCCCATCAAGCCTCGAAAGACCAATTCTCGAATACCTCGAACCCTGGTGTTATGCCAGACAATACTTCTTTGAAAGGCTGGAGCTCCTTAGCACGGGATGAAGGTAGGATCTTCGTGTTATAGGAATCCATGTTTGGGAAACTTAGGAGGATCTTGGATTAGTGGATGAGAAGTTAAGAGGTGCCTTCACTCTCGGCAAGGCCCAATTAACAAGATGATGGGATTATACATGTCGTGACAACAAACCTTAAAATCATAATTAATGTTATGTCAGGCTTGACCAACCGACGGCCAAGCAACATTTAATGCCCCTGATTAAGGGAGAAGCGACATGGCAACATGGGACAAGGCTCGAGGAAAGGATTAGACCCTTCAGACTCCTAAATCTCCAGGATTACTCACGTAATCCAAATTGGGGGTAATGCATGCGAGGGACCATGCATGGAAGGAACCATTAGATAATAACCAATGGAATCCAGATCTATAAATGGCACTGCCCTATGAAGAAAGAACTAACCCCAGAGGAGAAAAGCTGTCATGAGATATTGTATACTCGCCCTACCACCATCTTTATTTTGACAGTTGGTCTTCTTCTCCCCCTCCTACACTGAGCGTCTCCTCTGTTTTCCTTCGTATTTGTATTCTTGATATCTCTATTATATTGCTGTTTTATTATCTAGTAGAAAAGAACCCCTACAGATATGAACAGTGAAAGTTAATGGTTTTGTAAATATTTTCACAAATTGGATGATTTCTACAGTTTGTATTTAGAACTTGGTATTTTGGCAATATAGCTCTCAAAATTGCACAAAATTGAAGTTTTCCCTATGTTTTATTGAAAATATGAAGATGGCCATGCAGGATGGATACTCCTTCACTAGTGTCAACGGACGTGGTGGAGGGACCAGTTGGTTTCAGAAAAAAGACAATTAATCAATAAGAGAGGAATTAAAGCTAAAATCTTGGAGTCAACTCAGGCGGCCATTGTTATGGTGATATTGCCATCTCGATCTCATCCATTAAATTCAGATAGCACTCTGGAAGATTTCTCAACTTCATTTATCTTGCTTTGACTTTGTCTAATTAATGTCTTCACTTATTTAGTCCAAGAATAGAGTAGGGAGGAGGACGGGCACCATGCAGGCATCTAGGACGAAATCCTTAGTCAAAGCTTACGAATGCAATTTTTAGAAATTCATATATATTGAAACAAAACATTATCCCTATATTTTTGGAAAAAAAAAAAATAAAAAATAAAAAAACATTATCCCGACATTAATTGGGTCAACATTCATGTGGATGCATGTATCACTGGCAAGGCCTTTTCTTTTCGGAATCACTTTCGATCAGCTTTTGTTTATAGTTTTAGGTAGCGTTCAAAGTCCAGAAAAGCTGTTGGCTTCATTTATGTTCTTCACAAAAATGTCAAAGGTTATTAATGTAAGGGATGATTAATTGAAAGCGGGTCCGGGGTAGCGTAGCCTAAGAACGACCTTTCTGACTTAGTAAGCAATAAGTAAGGAACTTGAGTGAGGGGGGAAGTTTGGGTACAACGGTCAGCTGAAGTTAGGAAAATCCTCTACTAGATGACTTACCACGCTTATCCGTTAGCAATATCAAGCTTGGGTTGAGTCTTTGACTTGTTAGCGGAACGACATGCGCCGTAGGATTGACACTTTGACTGGTAGAGGGAGAGACCCGTATGTCTTGGAGGCTTGGAGGCTGAGTGGGGGTGGGCTCATATAACAGGTACAGGGATCTATATCAAATGTAGGATATACTTTTGAACACTTTATTTTTTCTCACTATTTACTTGATTCTCATTACAGTGTTATACAGTATGAAAGTTGTACAATAGAGAGGATTCTGATCCGAATTTACATCAGTTTTGATATGTTTATATACGCGTGTGTGTGTGTATACTTGTACGCGTGTATGTGGAAAAAGGGAATCTCATGTTGAGAGAGTGCACTTATTCTATATTTTATCACTATTATTATGTGTATTTTTATCCAAATCCTGTTTGCAAAACCTATGTACTGATAAGTGGTCCAGAACCCATTCACACTTGAACCACCGTTGGTTGGGTTTTCAGCTTAATGTGGTTGAGCATAACAGTGAACCACAGACCAAATAGAAAACATCACAGCTGAAGACATGAAATTATACACTACTACTAACTGCTTTTGAGATTCTGTTGGGAGGTCAACCTTTATAACATATCCTCAATTAGTTGGGTCATGATATGTATTCCAACATTTGGTGAATTTAGATATTGACTTTGAACAGATAAGCTCACTATCATTTTGTGCATTTTGAAAACTTACAATCATCTCTTGAGCAGCAACATGAGTAGCCTTGTAATCCTTGTTTACATGTGTACGAATGAATAAATATGCACGAGAAAGCTTAATACCTTCTTTTTCCTCAATTTATAAAAGAAATATACACATTGTGATAAATATTATTTACCACTAACATTTATAATCATTCAACCACATAAGAATTGAAATAATTAATATTGCCAAAACTTCGACTAACGTTAGCAGAAACATGTGCAAAACTTTTTGTCCCTGTAGTATGAAGCATTGTTTGCTTCCCACGAAGTTCTTTATTTTTTTCGCTCTCCTTCTACAAAAAGTGACAAAAAACAAACGTTCTTTGATTAATTTTAATTCCTAGGGATTAACACATTTCATGTAAAGTAATAACTGAAAGCAGGTAAACTATAAATTCAACTCATTCACTTTAAACAAATTGGTAGATGGAGAATTACATTCGCCTTAGCCATACCCCAATGCTTAACCAAAAATTTGCAATGGTCCTTCACAACTTCAGGTGGTGCGTTTGCCAATCTTTTCGCATCTATATCCCGAATCAAGTAGTATGCACTTTTTAGTTCACACTTGTACCCCCTCCATTTTGTTCCGATAGAAGATAATGTTCACTGTTTTGAAATGATTCCCACATCATACTGCCCTTAAAAATGTGATAATTGCTGCATGATAATCAACTTTCTCCATCAAAATTATTTTCATGTCATTGAAGGGTTTTACCTTTACTATGGTCCACATATCCTCTTTAAGCCAATTAGGCATCTCCTACCATGTTTTGTAGCACAAAGGAGCTAATCAACTATTGCGGGAAATTGCTCCCAAGTAATTACCATATTTGGTACTTCCATTTCCTGTCGGCTGTCCATACTTATTGACTCTAAACAAAAATTAACAATTATGGTTTTTTAGTACAAAAATAAAGATAGAAGAAATCATTTTTTATCCTTCATATTGAATGTTGTCTAATTATGTAAACTATATAAGATCTCCATATGTACCTTAATGGTATTAAGGTTGTTATGTCTAAGATATCCTTGCATCGTGTGGGGCCCGTCTTTCCTTCATAGCTGGTTGGGATGATTCAGTATTCTCAGTATTTTATTTTTTTGAACTATGAGATTTTGAAGATGAATGTGTTGATCAAGCTTAGTTCCTTAAAATTTTGCTGAGTTTCAGACAAGCCCTAGGTTTAACTTGAGTTTAAAAACAAGCTCCTTAAAATTTTGCTGATATATATATTTATATCAAGCTTGTTTTTAAACATAAAAGTATATACAAAGAAAAAATATGACAATTTTAGAATCAATATAAAACAAATGACCTAGTTTGTATGAGAAAAATCAAAATGCTTTGATGTGAGAGCTTGAAAGCTCTTGGACAGCCTTTGACGGGAATGCAAAATGGAACACCATTAAGTCCACAAAGTATGCCTCCATTCCATTAATGAATAGTTGAATTTTCCACAACCTGTAATTTTCCACAACCTGTAATTAGTTGAACACCATTAAGAACACGGGAATGCAAAATGGAACACCATTACGTCCACAAAGTATGCCTCCATTCCATTAATGAATAGTTGAATTTTCCACAACCTGTAATTTTCCACAACCTGTAATTAGTTGAACACCATTAAGAACAGGTTTTTCTACCATCACAATTAAATTGCCATTCCTCCTTGGGCACTCTATGCAGTATTGATTAGATCTTAAAAGAAAAAAAAAGGTCTTTTTCCATTAATGAATAGTTGAATATTGCACCAAGTGAGCGTTAAATGTCCTTGGAAAGAATTGACACGAAGAAGTTAAGCAAGTTACCACGTACACCCTTACTACGCAACGAACCAAAGTGTGTGGACACCTCTCTATAAAAGCCACACAATTGTTGTCTTCTAATTCATCTTCCTTCCATATCACGGACAGCTCCATGACAACTTTTACAAACTGTTTGCTTGCTTTTGTCATCATAGCAACAACTATTAGCATTAAAGGCCTGTGTGATCCAAACTCGGATGTAGTTTGCATTGAAAGTGAGAGGCAAGCCCTCCTGAGGTTTAAGCAACATCTTAAAGATCCCTCGAATAGGCTCTTGTCTTGGACCATCCAAGATGACTGCTGCAAATGGGCTGGAGTTGTTTGCAACAACTTAACCGGTCATGTCCATGAGCTCCACCTTTGTGCCCCCCCTCCTCCTCCTCTTCGTCCTCCTCTATATGACGAGGAGGACTTAAAGTTGGGTGGTAACATTGATGCTTCTTTGATAAACTTGAAGCATCTGCGTTACCTGGACCTAAGCAACAATGAGTTCGGAGGAATTCGAATTCCAGGATTCATTGGTTCTCTGAAAAGTTTAAGATATCTGAATCTCTCTCTTGCAGGATTTGACGGGGTGATTCCACATCAGCTTGGAAATCTCTCCAGCTTGCGCTATCTTATTCTTGGAGATAGCGATTACTACTTCAATCACAATTCCTTGCGGAGTGGTGAGAATCTTAAGTGGCTTTCTGGGCTTGCTTTGCTACAGCACCTGGACATGAGTGGGGTGAACTTGAGCAGAACATATGACTGGCCGCAGGTGATGAACTCCCTACCTTGTTTGGTTGAGTTACATGTTTCCCTTTCTAGTCTTACTCACTTTGTTCCGCTCTCTCCCGTTAATTTTACGTCTCTTAGAGTCCTTGATATTTCTGACAATAGTCTTAGTTCTCTGTCACCTATTGATTGGTTGTTCAGTATAAAAGGCCTCATCTCTCTTAATCTAGGTTACAATAATTTTCAAGGTCCAATTCCAAGTGGTCTTCTTAACATGTCTAGTACTCTTATACATCTCGATCTGTCTTCCAATGATTTGAATTCTACCATACCCACTTGGTTGTACAGCTTTAAGCGTCTTGAGTCCCTTCACCTTGGTTTCAATTCTCTGCAAGGTGTGATCTCTAGTGACATTGGAAATATGACTTCTCTCATTGATATCGACCTAACAAACAATCAACTTGAAGGGAATTTACCAAGTGAATTACAAAATCTTTGTAACTTGAAGGCGATTGGTTTGGGAGACAACAGATTTCGTGGAGATGTATCACAAGTGTTTAAAAGTTTGTCCGTATGTGCTATAGATGTTTTGGAGTCGTTAGAATTACATTTGAATCAACTTTCTGGTCATTTAACAGATCACCTTGGATACTTCAAAAGTTTGCGCTCTCTCGTTCTATCGGGTAATCTAATTTCCGGTGCCATTCCCGAAAATCTTGGACGCCTTTCGAAGTTGGAATTCCTTTGGATCGGTGATAATTTGTTGGAAGGGGTTGTTTCTGAAGTTCACTTTGCTGGTCTTGCAAATTTAATACTCTTATATGCGTCTCAAAATTCATTGACTTTGCAGTTGAGTCCAAACTGGATCCCACCCTTCCAACTTCAAGTAATACATTTGAGATCTTTGCGTGTGGGGCCAGAATTTCCCATGTGGATTGGATCACAAAAAGAAATTTCAAACTTGGACCTATCCTCCGCTTGTATATCAGATGAGATTCCCTCTTGGTTTTGGAACCTGTCTTCCTCCGCCCATTATGTAGACCTTTCTCACAACCAAATCCATGGACACATCCCATACATTCCAAATTTTTATCTTAACTTAAACTCCAACAAATTTAGCGGTCCATTACCCATTGTCTCTCCTAATGTATATGCGCTAGATCTTTCCAACAATTCATTTTCAGGAGATATTTCTGACTTCCTGTGTCACTCCGGTCCACATCAACTGGAATTTCTTCAACTTGATGAAAATCTTTTGTCAGGAAATATTCCAGAATGTTGGATGAATTGGCCGTCGTTAGAATTCATCAATCTACAAAATAACAATTTCACTGGGACCATTTCAAGCTCCATGGGATTTCTAAGTAGTCTAAAATCATTACACCTGCGCAACAATAGCCTCTCTGGAGAACTACCTTTATCTTTACAAAATTGCACAAATTTATTGGCAATCGACTTGGGAAAGAATAAGTTTGCTGGAAGCATACCATCGTGGATTGGGAAAAGGCTTTCAAAATTGATGGTTCTTGGACTTCGTTCAAATAAATTTTATGGCAAAATTCCTCATGAAATTTGTTACCTCACATCTCTTCAAATCTTGGATCTTGCATACAACAATTTGTCTGGAGCAATACCGCGGTGTATCAACAAATTCACTACCTTGGCACTGAAAGGGAACTTTACTGATGATGATGGTCGTCTCAATATTTACTCCAATTTTAGTGGACAGGTGACGGAGAATGCATTTGTAGTAACAAAAGGAAGAGAGATTCAATATGACATCATTCTCAGATTTGCAACCAGTATGGACTTTTCAAGCAATAACTTATCCGGAGAAATCCCCGAGGAGCTGACAAGTCTCTTGGTCTTGCAATCACTGAATTTATCAGGAAATCATCTGACAGGCTTGATTCCACGTAAGATTGGTAATATGGTACAGTTAGAGTCTCTTGATCTATCAAGAAACCAACTTTCTGGTGAAATCCCGTCAAGTATGTCAGATATGACATTTTTGAGTTACTTGAATCTGTCATATAATTACTTGTCAGGAAAAATTCCATCGAGTACTCAACTCCAGAGTTTCGATGTTTCTAGCTTCATTGGAAATGACCTTTGTGGGCCTCCGGTCCCAAAAAATTGCAGTGTGAATGAAGTGATTCCTAAGATTCAAAATGGACGAGGCAAAGGCAATGACGCTGAAGTGAATTGGTTTTATTTGAGTTTGGCACTAGGATTTGTAGTTGGTTTTTGGGGTGTCTGTGGTCCCTTATTATACAGCAAATCGTGGAGATTTTCCTATTTTCATTCTTTAGATTGCATGTGGTACAAAATTACCGGTTGTATTAGTAATAAGATGTAAAGTGTCCATAGATTCCAACAGTTACTTGAATACTGTGCTTTAGGCCTTCACATATGGTAAAACAGCTACTTTTATGGGGGTGGGGTTGGTACTATACTTCATTTATTTTAAATGTCTGATGTATTATGGTTGAAATCTTTGCGAGTGTCTAGTATATATGGTTGAAGTACACTGTATGATTCTCTATATGTGACACATGCACATATATCTGTCTAACTATATATATATATTGATAATTAAGCATTATATAACTCAAACAAAATATGTATAAATATCTCTCATTCAAAAATTATTACATAGTTCTACGACCAATGACGAAACAACATTAAACAAAAAACTTATTACAAGTGATATAAAGCTAACACATTTATTTATGTGTCACTTCATGCTATGTTGATTCGGATCATGTAATATTTTTTTCTAAAACTAAAACCAAAAACACTAAGGGTATCATTGTATTATTACCCAATAATTTGCTTTAACCACTTCGATGTTGACCAACTCCATTCCTTCTTCATTTCAATAAATGAAAATACAATTTTTTTTCCTAAATAAATGAAAATATAATTCATTAAGGCTCTGTTAAAATATTTTTCAAAAAATATTTTTTTTGGTGTTTGGTTATTATAAAATATTTAAAAAGAAAAAAATATTAAAAATTAACAAAAATAACTTATTCATCAATTTTTGACAGGCTAATTAACACGCCCCACTCAATGGATTTGATTCCAACCTCAACCTAGACCTTTGTCAAATACCAAAAAATAAAAATAAAAATAAAAAAATATTTTACATAAAAAAGAAAATATTTTTTGAAAAAAATATTTTTGTAACGACCCAAAATAATACCAGTCGACCGGTACTAAAATTCAATCGACGGACACGACCTTTGCAGAAAGAGTTCTATTACAACCTGCTAAAATGCATATAAAATGCAATGGCCTCTCTTGGACCTTCAAAACTGAACTATACATGCTCCAATACACACTTCAAAAATAAACTACAATATTCCCAAGCTATATACATCTATTAAAACATTAGCACACATTCTTTACATCCATTCCTACCAAACCATAGAGATACAAGCCTATTACATAGTCCCATAATCATTTACAAAAAATTCACTTGAATTACATCATAATACATTCCATGGAACATATTAAAATAAGGGGTGAGCCAACCGCTAGTAGGAGGTGTCTAAGACACACCTCTTAATGACCCAATGAATCTACGCAAAGTATAGGTAAAAAGTATACAGGATCATGCCATAGGGAAAACACAACAAGAAGTGTATACATAAATTTCATCCAATCACAAATGCACTATGTATGGCAATGAAGTGCAATGTCATGCCAATGTCGCTCCCCGTTTTTCAAAATAATTCCGTTTTACCGTTTCAAACCGTTAGTGCAATCCGACCCATAGTGACTTCATGGCGTCATGAAAAGAGAATTGGCTAGCTATCCCTGACCACAAGGCAACTCCAAGGTGTCGTTTTGGGCCTAGATAGCTCAACCATGCTAGGGTCTTTCCCTGGTCCCATCTAGACCACACTAACGCTGCGGACCACGAGACAACTCTTAGGCGGCTAGGTTTTTGCAAATACTTTTTAAAACAATTTTCCCCAAAATTAATTTCATTTGCTTATAAAACAATTATTCCCTTTCATTCCCAATGAAATGCATGAATGCGCCATACTCAACTATGGCAATATATATAATTTTCCATAATTTACAATTAACCACAATAATATATATATATATAACATGCTTTCAAGAAGGCTCACAAAGAATCATTTCATGTATTGACAAAGTGAAATTTCAACATTTATGCATACACAAGGCAAACAAAAATTTCAGTTTGGCATGCTTCATCTTATTATTCCAAATAACATATATTTTTAACTAACTAGACACATAAAACACATTGATACACAAAGCTCTCAATACCATAAGCAAAATAATTAATTTAAGCATGCTTAAAAACAATTTAAATGAATGAAATTCACTAAAATCAAAAATAATGTGGATTAGAACACCCCTACTTCAGAATTGAAGGACAAAGCCAAGAAACCCCCCAAATTCAAATTTCTGAAAATGTCCCAAATAGTGATTTGCTCCTGTCAATACAATGCCCTCAACGAGCTCATCAACTTTTCCTTTGGTGGCAAAGCCCAAATCTCAAAAAAAATGGCTAGATCAAGACTTGAATGGATGGAAGAAAAGAAAAAAAGAAAAAGAAACTGATGCAAGGGAGAGATAGAGACTACGAGAAGAGAAGAAGAATCTGAAGTCAGTTAATGACCTTGCGGTCATTACATAAGGTTAAGGCAATTAGTGGGTCCCATGGTCACTAAATATTTTTATCAGTAATATATATATATATATATTAACCAATATACAACCACAAATAAACATATACCACACAATTGTACATCAAACAATAATGTATGAAATGCAATGGATTCAAAATAAAATCTTCATATTCAACAACTCCGGTAGCGAGTCTCACCTTAGACCTCCCGGTTCGAAAAATCAAAAAATACGGAAATGACAACCAATGCATTTTCAAAAGTCCTGAACTCAAGGAAACGCTCCAATCAATTCTCAAACACACCCGGCACACCCCCACAGTGTTCAACAAGCAAAACGAGGCAAAACTGTAATAACTCCGAAAAATCCAAAAAATGAAACAAACAGCACCTAAAGTCTTAGCTTAAAAATGTTCATCAAATTAAGTCTAAATAAAAATAATCCAAAACACTTGCTTGTGAGAAATAGAAATTTCCGACAATCTCGACACTTGTAAATTTTTAAGTTGATGATTATATCGATTTATGAGTGACCGATATTACCAAATTAATTAAAAAGAGAAATTGAGTGTTTGTTTTCATTCATAGGACTTAAACCGGGGTGACAAAATTCAGTCTTTTTGTGACAACAAGATCGTTGAATCTAATAGAAAAGATAAATTGGATTCGTTTTAAAATGAGACATGAAAGGAATATAGCAAAATAAGATATTGAGAGGGGTATAATTAAAGCCAAATTATGCCATGTAGACCAATTAGGACAGTCCAGAAGAGAAGAAATTTCATTACCGATCAACTATGCTGACGTGTCTTCTTATGAATGGTTCGAAGCATTAATTAGGTAGTATCTGGCATTAGTACCGGTTCTGCTATTTACGGTTTATATTTTATTTTCTTCTTTTTTTTACTTATCACCCATTTAATGTTATCGGTATATACTATGCTCTTTTTTTCACACTGGATAATAGAAAATGTTTTCCGGAGCATTTGATTTTTTTTTATTTTTTTTCACGCTGAGTAATAGGAAATTTAATTTTAAAAAACATTTCATAGGGTAACATTGTTTTCAAACACTCCGGAAAATGTAATTTTAATTATTTTTTTAAAAAAAAATGTTTAATAGGGTAACATTCTCATTAGTGTGCCCCAACTGTATGACATCACTATATTACATGACTATATTACCGTATGTGTATATATATAGATTTATAATACATGCTTGAAAATATACTACTAAAAAATTTTCCAATTGAAGAATATTATAAATAAATCTAGCATCTATTAGCGTGAAAAGTTAACTTATTTATTACATATAATAAGTAATAATAAATATATTTGTATATGAATTTAAATAAATAAAAAAATACAAAATACATAATATTATGAAATTTGAGAAATCTACTTTCTAATTTTGTAACATTTTTTATTCAACCCGACAATGAACTCCTCACATTGCCTTTCATCATTATTTTTACATTTAAGAGTTTATTTTTCGTATTTTTTATAATTATTTGTTCTTTTCATAGTTCTACTACTATAAATTGTTAAATTGTGCTGTATTGTTTAGTTAGTTTGTGGGAAAAAAAAATCTCTTTAAAATGATGAGATTTTATATAATCAATTTTCAGTACAGAGTTCAATGTTTTGCACTTCACTCTTGTATATAAAAAATATATGATTACTTTAAAGCACTCAACCAAAATAACTATACCTTCTCAACTGTGCGTTTCACCAATTTAAGACAACACAATGGTCAGTGCTCATCAGGTGAGCCCCCAAACCAAACCACCAATACCATTTAACTTGCAGACGTCATATGAGCTCCAATGAACTCAAGCTAAAAGCTCGGGATCGACCACTTTATACAAATAATGTCAAAGTTTAGGTGTGCATGGAGTGGTCTATTAGCATCCTTTGGTAACGGGACCATACCGGGCATGACCCTCTTTGTTTCAGCATGATCTTCCACTCGAAGCATAAGTTTTTAGGCGTGCACAGAGGCACGCAGCTCACCAGAAATATTTCAATACTAAACCGTTGGTAAACCGTATCCTTTCTTTAGGCGATCAAGTAAACAACAAAAATGTGTAGTATCGGGAGAATGAATAACGAACTGCAGTTTAAATAATATGTCAAAATGTTGTAACAAACATAGCAACTATGTGCATATTCTCTAATCCATATCAAACCAAATTTCTTGAAATGCGACAAAAGCAGAACATAGTCAAATCTTTCCTTTAGTCCTGCATTAAACAAGGGCATCCAGCGGCCAAGAGTGTTAAGAGTAGAGTCACAAAGTCTCCCCTATATTAGATCGAAGAACTGGAAAATATTACTTCAGATATTAGGCATTATAAGAATCGACTCAATGTGACACAATGAATTTTCCCAGTCAGTGTCTACGTAGAACATATTTGGTCGAGTAATGAATTCTTACCAGGCTTCAAAGGTCACATATCATGGTCTGCCGGATAACTCCCCAAAACTCTCAAGAATGTAGCCATTTCCTGCCAAAAAAAAAATGCATCTCTCATATCATCTATGGTTAAGATTCATCACTCTTAAACTGATTGAGATTTAAAATAACCACACCTTTAGATGCCCAAGGGCATTTTGTGCATTTTGGTCGGCCATTGATGCTTCAAAATCCACATAGAATAGATAAGGAAAGTACCTATATAAGATTATAAAATGCAATCAGGACAGAGATGCTTAATACATTGTTTCGTTTACACATATGCTGCCAAATGGTGCCAAAATACTACAATAAAGGGATCAAATATATAGCCATTCTAAGAAATATATCGCAAAACGTTCACTCTATATACTTGGGAAATCCATTATTGCTATCATCAAGTGCTCGCAACGCCTGCTTCTGCAGGGGACGACTTTCAATCTGGTTCAGCAGAAAATAATAGCAAAGGCTGTCAACACGGCTACCCTGAACCACAAATCTGCACTAAACCATAAGAGAACAAAAATTCCTTGCAAGAGGAGCATACCTTAGTAAGATTGATGTCTCTCATTGCAAAAACCGCAAGTGCCTTGAAAAGCATGCCAGGCCCCTCCTCAAGTGAAAAAACTATACTAGTCTGACGGGACAATAAAAACATTCCTTTGTGAAACTCTACTTACAGTAACTAATATGTGTGGGCTAAAAAATTGTAGAAAAATAACATTTTAGTTCAGATATGCAATGGTCATGGTAACTTGATTGTTTCAACTGCCAGTGATCAGTAAAGTGAGAGCACTGATGAGGCTGACCTTGAATGGCCTATCCGTGCCAGGAATAATGGGTTCCCTTGCCAGCATTAGAAATCGAGTGACATTATCAGTGTCATCCTATTGGAAGAAAAAGCATGTGTTAGTCAATGCATTCATGAGATATATCATCAAGTGAAGTACATAACTACAACATAAATTTTGTATACTAACCTGAATATCTTGAGCAAGTATGTTCAAACCATAGATCCTAGCAGCATCAGAGCTAGCAACTGCCCCTGAATCTTTGAGTTTGTGAAAAGCAACAAACTAGAGAGAAATTTTGAGCATGTTACAATCACAAACATACACGAATAGTTCTAATAGGTTTAAACATAATCACTTGATCTGAAAATTCATAATCATAAAACTATATCTCCAAAGGCCAAGCAAGACAAATAATTTCATATTTTATTGTTTAGGTTAATCCGACTAAATTGGTCTACTTGACCTCCTAGGCAAGATTGCTGAATGGGGTTATAACATGCATGTAGAGTCATAATCCATGATTTGATGGTCATGGCCCTTTATACCGAAAGTGAGAAACCCCATCTCTCTCCTCCCTTTTTCTTGCTCCCATGTTGCCACAGGATTCCTCTAAATTCATACAGTAATTTCTGAGGGAGCAAGAAGGATTGCATCCAAAACTGGAGAAACAGGAAACTATCAATTTATATCTACCTTTGCTGCACCAGCGGTATCGTCCACGGCTTCTCTAACCATTCCTAATTTTGTTAGTGTGTTCTCACACTGTGCAAGAGCCTGAAATATCACCAAATTTCATATGAATTTCATGTCATGCACATAAAAATTAATCAATGAGTAAATATAAGACACCTGTGGATGGCTTAGAACCCTTTTCAGGTCTTCAACTTTAACACCCTGGTTGGCTAGCAAACAATGCCGGATTGAAAGTTTCACTTCCCCAACTATGTGCAACCTGTGCCGAAGTAGAAGGTCATAATTCCTGTGGATGCTTCCACCTAGAGAATTCTCGATTGGTAAAACTGCTCTATCGACAAGCCACCGTTCAACAGACTGAAATCAATTAAAATAGAAAAGAAAAAATGTTTTAGTACTTTTATTGAAGATAAAACTGCAGGAAGCTTCCTGCTACTCAAAGCAGAATACAGATAGAACTTACAACCAGGCTCTTTATTACACAAAACTTTCAACCAGATTTAATCAAATATCGCAATGAGAAACATGGAAATCCATATCAGCTCAGGAACTGTTTTATAAATATGTGTTATATATACATATATATATAAGAAATAAATAAAAAAGGCGTTCAAAAGGGGAACGTGTCCCTTATACAAAAGTGGATCCGGGGGCTAAGGCCCCAAAGAATCCAAAAAAATAATTAAATCATCGGAAGAGGAGCAAGAACTCCTCTTCGCATAATTGAAAAGAGAGCGAATAATATAAAGTTTCAGCGTCGCTGTAACCGACTCCTTCCCTTCAAACATTCTGCTATTTCTCTCCTTCCAGATACACCACCAAACGCAATGTGGGACAATTCTCCAGTAATCGCGTACACCTCTTCTCACACAACATCCTCTCCAAGCATGAATCAAATCCTTAAAAGAACGTGGCATTACCCAACGCATGCCAAACAACCCAAGAATAAGATTCCAATAGTCGTGCGTCACGGGGCAATGCATGAGGATATGATCAACTGACTCATCATCTTAATTGCATAGGCAACACCAATTAACAAAACAATTCCCCTTCTTCCTCAAATTATCAATCATCAGTATCTTACCCCATACAGCGGTCCATACAAAGAATGCCACCCTAGTTGGAGCCATAGAACGCCAAATGGTCTTCCACAGAAAGTCAAGGCTATCAAAATTAGATAGACATAAGAACAAAGATTGCACTTCGAAACGACCATGGAAAGAGGGAATCCATGTCAGATCGTCACTACCTCTGCCAACACCTTCCTGCCGATACAACTGATCCAGAAGAACACATACCTCATCCAACTCCCAATCCTGAAAGGAACGCCGAAAGTGCACATCCCACGTAATCCCACTACTATCAAGCCGATAACAGTCAGCTAAGTAGGCGTGTCTATCAACTGCAATACTGTATAGTCTGGGAAATGTACGAGATAATGGCTGGCAAGGAAGCACAGACACTCCAAAATGGGCGAAGAATCCGTGTCCGACACGGACACGCGTCGGACACGCCCCGACACGTGTCTGACACGCCAAAAAACGTGTCTGGAATTTTTTTATTTTTTTTAATTTTCAGACACGGCTCAGACAGCTCGGACACGGCTCAGACGGCTCGGACACACTTTTCTGGATTTTTTTTTTTTTTTTAAATTTTTAATGTTGATATGTTCTATTTTTTGTTTTGTACTACCTTAAAGATGTTGATATATATATATACTAACCTAAAGATGCCACAATTCGCCGTGTCCGTGTCCTAAAGATGCTGATATATATATATACTAACATATCAGTGATATATATATATATTCCAACCTAAACATATCAGTGTTTTTTTTTAAAATTATTAATGCTGATATATATATATATATATATATACTATTCGCCGTGTCCATGTCTTAATTTTTTTGAATTTGCCGTGTCGCCGTGTCCGTGTCGTGTCGTATCCGTGTCCGTGCTTCTTAGATGGTTGGTCACCACACCAAAGATCTTCCCAAAAATAAAATATATATGTGCGTATGGGACTTAGCATTTGACCAACGAAGCTGAGGCAACTGGATAACATTGACGTTATTCTATTTTATTTTTTTCAAAAAGAAGATAAATTAATATGATAGAGATTTTTTTTTTTTTTCCCCCTAATATGATAGAGATTCAAACTGATACAACAGCTACTAAAAATAAGCGAGAGTTTTCAATCTTTTACCTGACATAGTGAACAGTATGCGGTGGCCGGATGAAAATATTTATAAACTAAATTGAAGATACTCAACTAAAAGTTATAGAGTGAAACAAACTCAAATATGGTTCCTCCATAACAAGTAAGGAGAAAGTTTCAGTAAGACTTTTTCACGGCACATCGTCTGAGGCTTTCTAAAAATTTATTGCTACAAGAGATTTTTCATTCAACCCGTTTTATCATAACGATCACTCTCCATTGATGGCAACTGATTTCAATATTTTGAACTCCCCACTCCTCAATCCAAAATAAAAGGGCAAACCCAATGCACAATGCTCCCGCCATTGCGGAGTCTGGGAGGGTCAGATGTACGCAACCTTGCCTCCGCATGCGAAGAGGCTGTTTTCTTGTTTCAAACCCGTGACCTCCAAGTCACAATGGAGCAACCAACCTTACTGTTGCACCAAGACTCACCCTCACTCTTCAATCCACAATGAATGGGCTAATTTAAAGGTCAAACCTTCCACAGAAGGACACAATTAAACTTTCAACAACTATCAACTTTAGTAACTTCTTTAAGGTTAGCGAAGAATCAGTTCTTGCATCAAAACCATAGATATGAAGAAGGTATATACCAAAAAGGGAAGAAATAAAAGGAAATGCGAGATGAAGATAACTCTCTTAGTGTACCAGATAGTCAACAACACTGTGTCATCTTCGCATAGAGGCAATTTCTTACCATCTTATCTTCAGATTGCACATTTGAGGTATGTTATCATATATAATTGAAATTTTATTTAATTATTTTTGCTAAGAGCGGTGAAGGTCGAAATGGTACCCTTGGTCAATCAACTAGCGGAAATTTTAATATTTATTCAATTATTTTTGCTTATGATTATCTTTTATTTAATTTGAAACTCAAAGTAAATAAAACAGAAAGTACACACACGCACACACAAAAAAAAAAAAAAAAAAAAATATTTAGCAGCAAACCAATATTGTCCCATATGTCATGGCCTTGACATAGTGAATACCTAGTGCATATCGGACCGCTAATTGATACAATCCTCCCAGAGTTTTCTATCTATAATTTTTCAATAAAACAAGAGAAGTTGTAATCTGACATCCTACCTATAATTTTTCAATAAAAAATATTGTGTTGTCATGCTTAGGGATGGCAATTTCCTCCAACCCGCTGGGTTTCCGCCCCGCTCCGCTCCTAATGGGGCGGATTTGGTAGCTCCATAAATGGGTTTGGGACGGATATGGTAAAAGAATTGAAAACCCGAAGCAGGTTTGGGGCGGGGGCGGATTTAGTGATGCCCCCACCCCACCCCACCCCCGCCCCGCCCCGCCCCGCCCCCACCCCAAGCCCGATTATATATATATATATTTAATTTAAGTGTCCATTAATATATTTTGACTAAATATTCGCTAGAATCACTACTTACTAAAATTCTACAATTGTGCATGTGATTCAATCTTCAAAGATTCAAAATCTTAGTATTCTATCCCAAGTCCAGGAATTAATTCAACAGTTTTAACTTTACCACAATTAAACGGAGTATGCGGGGGCGGAGTTGGTATTTTGTCTACTGGAGTAGGGGCGGGGATGGTATACCAATTATAAACCCGTCTCGGAGTTGGAGCGGAGTTGGTATGACGAATTTTTTAATGGGGCGGAGTAGGGTTTAGCCAACTCCATCCCAACTCCGCCCCGTTGCCATCCTTAGTCATGCTTGTGTATGGGTGTTCACTAGTGTTGCATTGTTGTATACAATTCACTAGCAAAAGGAATAATAAAAGTCACACATGCAGTTCATTAGCAAGAGAAATAATAAACTTATATTACTAGTCAAAGAATGGTGTACAAGCACTCACACTCTCACCTCTAAACTTTATATTCAGTCTTGGGACTTGTTGACTACAATGGAGACCTCCACTCTATATATAGGCATTCTCCTCCTTAATGGACGGCTAAGATGCATTATAATTATTGACTAATATCTACTCTCCAGGACTTTTCATCTGACTATCTAGATATTTACAATCTCTACAAAACTCACTATTCTTCTATAATATCCTTTAATCTACACATTCCAACAAGCTATCTAATGTTCTAAAATCCTCCCTCTCTATAACACCCCACAATTCTCTACAAAAATGTGGAAGACTCTAGAATCCAACTCTCCACACATGTTGTGCGGACGCTATGTTGGCGTCCTTCTTAGCGCTCATGTGTCGACACTAGGCTCAAGTAGAATGCCTCAACCTACTACAGGGTAGGGCCTTCAATCAATCTCACATAAAGCCTTTAGGCAAACGCTTTTTAGTAGGCTCCAAGCCTGAAAAAAGAGCGCCTTTTATTTTTTAATCAGTTATACATATTATTTGTTTTTTTATTTAATGACCATTATATTAGCATGTTCTATATCATACCTCAATCATATTTAAAGGATCGTATTATTCAACCTTATGAAATATTTGGCAAAATTCATAAATTCATAGTTAACTACTTGCATTAATTACATTGTGCTTGATAATACAAGTTTAAAATTTTACATGATTATAGTTTTTTGTTGTTTCACACTTGTAATCACATTTAATTTGGTTAATACACATGCATATGAAAAGATTTATGCACATTAAGTTACCGGATCTTTTTAGTTGATATACCAAAACTCTCTTCTTCTCTCCCTTTTTTTTTTTTTTTTGAATGAGTGCCCGAGAGGTTGCCCCCAGCAACCTCCCCAAGCATCAATCAAGCTCAACCCGGGCTTTGGCATGACCCACTGGATCCCAAAAGGGGGGGCGGGTCACTCTGATTAAGAGTACCCTTTCTTGCCTTCCTACTTATTTCATCTCGCTTTTCCAGATTCCCCTCTCTGTCGCTGAGAGAATTGAGTGTTTGCAGCGTAACTTTCTGTGGAGGGGAAGAGGGGAGGAGTTTAAGTATCATCTGGTTCGATGGGAACAAGCGTGCAGGCCGATTCGAAATGGTGGGTTGGGTCTTCGAAGATTAGTGCCTTTCAATAAAGCTCTCCTTGGGAAATGGTTGTGGAGGTTTAGGGGTGGAGAGGCATTGACTTTGGCGGAGGGTCATTGCGAGTAGATATGGGGAATGCAGAGGAGAGTGGTGCTCTCTCGAGGTACGTGGTCCCAGGGGTGTGGGGGTCTGGAAGTGTATTCGGAAGGGGTGGGCTGATTTTTCCATTCATGTTCGTTTTAGACTCAGGGATGGCAGAAGGATCAATTTTTGGAGGATGTTTGGTGTGGGGATATTTCTCTTGCTCTCGCTTTCCCAAGGCTTTTCAAAATTGCTACGGATAGGCAGGCCAAGGTGGTCGACTGTTATCATCTTGATAGCGGGAGACTGGTTTGGGATGTTCGATTCAAGCGTCTTTTTCAGGATTGGGAGGTTGAGGATGCCACTCGTTTGTTGGAGGCGTTGTATCGACATGGTGTCGTGGCTAGAGACTCGGATTGTTGGATTTGGAATCCAAATTCGCAGGGTCGCTTTGATGTTCGTTCCTTCTTCAGGTGTCTTACAGTGGAGCCTGGAGGGTCCTTCCCATGGAAATCTGTTTGGAGCTCTAAGGTTCCTCTCAAGGTGACCTTCTTTGCTTGGACCTCTGTTTTGGGTAAGATTTTGACCCAAAATAATTTGAGAAGGAGAAATTAGGTGGTGGTCAATCAGTGCTACATGTGTCTTCAGGATGAGGAGACAGTGGTCATCTTCTTTTGCATTGCACCATGGCCAAGGATTGTTGACACTTGATGCTTAGTTCGTTTGGGATCTATTGGATCATGCCTCATTCCTTCAGAGGGATGATTGAGGCTTAGAGAGGGTGCTCTGTGAGGACCCATATTCATGATGCTTGGAGGGCTACGCCTCTTTGTGTGTGGTAGTGCATCTAGCTGGATAGGAATAGAAGATATTTTGAGGACAAGGAGAGGCCTATTTCTTTTCTTAAGTTCTCTATTATTTCCACTCTTTTTTGTGGGTTATAGGTAGAGATTATAGATCTTTAGAGGATTTTGTTGTTTTCTTGGCCTCTTTGAAGGCTTAGAGGCCCAGTATTTGGCCTCATGCTATTCTCTTGGGATGTGTTCCCCTGTTGAGCGCTTTCAATGCATTTCTTACTTATCAAAAAAATATATATATTGATTTAATTTAATTCATATGCAAATTGAAATATATATGTATGTTGATTTAGCTAATTGATTGAATTAAAATGTTGAAAAAAATTCCTTTCGTTTGATATTCTTAATTTGTGTTGCATATTACTTTTAAATATTTGTGTTTAATATGCATTACTATCAGTCAGCACTCTTATTTCGATCAGACTCACGCTTTATATTGCTCTTAGGCTCCAAAAAATAGTTGGTGCCTTAATGCCCCTTGAGCCTTTAACAAGTGCAATCCTAACCAACTTTTGTTCATTTGCTCCTCTGCTGGTTCCAACACTATCTTCCGCCTTAAACTTCATATAAAATCTTATAAACAAAATATCCTTCTCCAACCTGTAACCCATTAATTGAATGTCCATAAGATCTCATTTGCTAATCTGTCATGCATTTTTTTATTCTTAGTGTTTTTGAACCTTGTGGGGTTTCCTTCAGTGATGTTGTCTACTGGAAATGGGCCTTCTCCATTTCCTTGTTTCTGTTTAGAGGGGAAATGCCCTCTCCTATTGCCTTGTAACCTTATGTTTTGTTTGGTCTAGCGGTATTAGGTCCTTACTTCTCAAAGGGAGGTTAAGGGTTCAAAGCCTCCATGGAGGCATGTGTGTGTGAATATCAACTGTGAAAAATAAAATAAAATAAAATAATTAAAAAAATAATCCTATTTAGGGGGAAAAAAAAGCAATTAATCCCGAATATACTATACCCAAACAACAACATAAAGCATCAACTCTTTGTTTGAGGCATCATCATTGGAGGAGTCGTCTAGTACAATTCAAAACTTTAAAACAAGAGTTGTAAAATGGTGACGGGCTTTATAAGAGGAGGTACACAACAAAACAATTATCTCATTGCACATAGGTCATGACGTAAATATGGAAATATAGGAAACTGGAGAGTAGTCATGGCAATAAAGAATATAATGCCACAAAAACTAATAACTTTGTGGACATTGTTGCATTGTTGACCACAAAATAAAAATTTTAAAAGGAAGGGCTCTCTTCAAAAGAAAACTAAGATGAAACATGTCTCTGAACTACTATAAACGAGAATCATCAAAAGCTTCAAGCTTATTGTGCTATTATTAGTACAGTGAAAATTGGAAATGGAGAACAGTATGCAAAGAAATGATTCCAAATAGCTTTTGATAAATCTTAGTTCAGCCAGAATGTGCAGAAAACAATTTTAAAACTCGATATAACAGCTTGACTCAACAAGTAAAGTGGGAGGACAATCACAGAATATACTCTAAATAACTTATATGCATTATGTAGCTCATAAATATGCATTAATTAAAGAAAAGTGTCAAAATTAACAACAACAAACTACATCAAGAGCAAATAAAGTTATATTTCCTTATATAAACAAAATAGGTGTTTAAATTCTCACTTCGAAAGTAGTATCAAACTGCTCGCAAGGAACTGGTTCACAATTAGGATATGCCTTCTCTGCCGCAGATTCACTGTATGCCCCACGAACTCCCTGAAAATGAAAACGCCAATCAGATAAACCACCGAATCAAAAATTAAAATCAATCCACAGGCATTCATGTATTATACATAGAATTTACAAGAATGAATGGATAACCTGATAAGCAACCCGAAGGCGAGACCGATCAGAGACCGAATTGGAGAACTGGGTTGAAGATAAAGGCCCTAGAATTGAAGACAAAAACCAATCAGATTAACTTCACAAAAGCCCTAAAACACAACAAACTCATAAATCAAGTATGGTATAGTTACGCGGAAGTAAATTGGGGTCCTTGGAATTGAATTCAAAGGGAAAGCCTTCGACAAGTTTCTGCAACTCGATGGCGTTCTTGTTCGGGCCTCCTCCGATGGCGTTGTGGTCGTCGGCGTCTGGTTGAAGAGAAGCGAGAGCGGGGGTGAAACGACGCCGTCTAGCACGGGGAATTGGTGGTTTGATGACTGTGATTAGATTTGTATTGGAGGACGGTGAGAATTTGGAATTGAGTTGGGGATGTAGAGGATTCATAGGGCACCGTAATGTAGAAGCCGCCATTGATGTCCAAAGCAAGCTTGCTTCGTTGTGACTCACGCACAGAGGGCAGAGAGGAGGTGGAGGATCTGACGAGGCAAATGAATTAATGCGGTGTACAGTAGTCAATAATGGAGATGGTGCTGATTTTTGTAAGACCAAAAAAAATTGGTTTATGGTGAGGTCAGACAAAATGAAATTTGGTTTCATTGTGGTGTCCCCACATGTACTAAAATCAGAAAAAACAAAATAATAATAAGTGTGAATTGCAAAAAATCCTCCTGACTTTTATCTTTTATCTGTTAATAAAAAGTTAAAAACCTCTCTTTATGAATTTATTTAGTAAAAAAAACGGTGTTTTTAACTTAACTCCGTCATAAAGACAATTTTTGGAACGAAATTGCCCTTAAACAGAGGCGACTTTTCCATCTTTCCTCCACTGGTCCCGCAGAGGGAAAAATAGGGGAACCAACCATCAAGTTGTCGTCGTTGGCTTCAAGATCGTCGCCGGAAGAGAGTGAATCGGAGAGAGATGATAGAGTGAATGAGAGAGATTAAATGGGATTAAATTAATGACAAAAAGAGAGAATGGAAGGCTTAATCAGAAGGCATACCCTCGAAGAACCCAAAACTTCGCGATTGAAGACGATGAAAGACGGCGCCAGCTATGCTGCTGGCAAAAAGCTGTGGAATCGTTCCAGTCGGCGAATTCCGTTGCATGAACTTTGCTGCGCCACCAATTTCTATGCAACACCACCGCCTTCTAAGACGGTGTTCCAATGGCCCGAAGTTAGAGGTGGGTCGCCGGTCTTACCAGAGAAAACTGTCACGCCCCAAAATCTTAAATGCATTATTAAAATCTGGCGTGGCTTTCTTCACACAACCACAGCTTTACAAAAAATAAATAAATAAATAACAATAATTAAATAAAAAAGTAGATATAAAACACCTACTAATTTATTAAACCCATACAACTATAATAACAATCAACCTTGTCATAATTAATCCATGATAACTAGACAAAATGAACTAAATCTCAAAATATCTCAGTCATTCTTATTACAATGCAAAAATTGAAAAAATCTATCACCATCATGTTCTTCCTCAACGTGTACCTGAAATGTGATAATGAGATAAGCTCAACAATAAATGCTAAACACAATCATCGTTCAGCAAATTAACCTTACATTATATTCCAGTATATATAAGTGTACACACAAATTTTGTAAATTTGCAATAGAAACAAAATATGGAGTAAATAATATAATTTTATTAATTTAAGAAATTGAGGTACAATTCTCTGTAATATTTTTTACAAAAGAAAAAACTGATCATCTGATTAAATCTCCTTTTTTTGTTGGTTGGTTGGTTGGATCCAAGGGCTGCACAGGCTTGATCTTGAATCACCGTGGAATTTGATGAAGAACGGCACGTTTTTGGCTGTGCTTGTTGTTGATTGAATCACCGTGAAATTTGATAAAGAACGGCACGTCTTTGGCTGTGCTTGTTGTTGATCACCGTGGAATTTGATGAAAAAGGGCACAATTTGATGTGCTTGGTGTTCTTCGCCTTTGGGTTTGGATGTTAGGGATGAGAGTTTCTGTATTTCTCTCTCGAATTCTAGATTTCTGAATTCTGACTTTGTGTACCACTTCCTTCTTCCTCTAGGCCTCTATTTATAGGCTTCTTGGATTAATAGGATGATGACACGTGTCATCTCCTGATAAAGATAAAAATATAACTGGGCCGGGCTGGTTACATTATGATAATTATCCTTAAAAATAATTATTCCAAATATATTTTATTAGAAATAATTATCTGTTCATTTAATCATATGGGCTGGGCTAATTAAAAACTGTACGTAGATCTTGTAAATGATTCCTTCGTTCTTTCGTCTTAACCACCAAGTCCTCAACATAACATTCAACAATCTTGTAGAGTATGTCATCGAAGATCATTTGCATAGCGCGCTGGTATGTTGCTCCCGCATTTTTGAGTCCGAAGGGCATAACTTTGTAGCAATATATGCCTTTTGGAGTACGAAAGGCAGTTAGTTCCTCATCTTTCGGAGTCATTCTTATCTGATTTTACCCGGAGTAACAATCCATAAACGAGAGAGTTTCATGCCCTGTGGTTACATCTACAGTGAGTTCGGGGATGGGAAGAGGAAAATCATCTTTTGGGCATGCCTCATTTAAATCACGAAAATCCACACAAATTCGAATCTGTCCATTTTTCTTCTTCACTGGAACAATACTCGAAATCCATGTTGGATATTTGACCTCACGAATGAACCCTACTTTAATCAATTTGTTGAGTTCTTCCTCTATCCTTGGAACTAGCTCTGGATAGGGATGTCAATTTTTACCGCACCGCCCCGTCCCGCCCAGTTAATAACGGATATGGGAACACTTTTTATACCGTTGGGGTGGACATTGATACAAATTTTGTACCCGTCGAGGGTCACGGGGCGGGTAAGGGTTCAGTGTACATATCCTAGGAGCCCCGCCCCGCCCCGCCCCGCATATAACTATATATATATATATTAATAAGTTATATTAGCGGCTTACCCAATTACCCATCTCTTACAATCCTAATTTGGGATGTAAATTTAGTATTAAATTTGCTTTTGTTTTGGTTATGGTGGAAGTTGGAGTTTAGAACTTCTTGTGATTTGGTTGTATTAAACTTTTATTTTTGTTTATTATGTTCTCTGAATTATCTTATGTGCATGTTATTTTTTTATTTTTGTTGGGATACATAATTTTATTTATGTTATGCCATTCCTAGGCTTTGCACATTTAAATAGCAGGAGTTTAAGTTCCAAAAAGTAGGAGAAAAAAATTTGTTAGCGGGGAGGGCACGGGGGCATAGTATTTCCTAACGGGGCGGGGCTCGACATGAAAATCCAACCCGTCGCGGGTCTCGGGGCGGGCATGGCCTTGACAAAAATTAAAAGGAGCGGGGCGGGATTTAGGGAAACCCACTCCAAACCTACCCCGTTGCCATCCCTAGCTCTGGACGGAAGAAACGTTGAGACTGCTTAATCAGACATGTCCCATGTTTGACAGCAAGATTGTACACTGCAATTTTAGGGTCAAGACCGGACATCTTTTTGTATGTCCAAGCGAAGACATCCTTGTACTCAGACAACAATTGAAAGTAATCATTTTCTTCTGAGGGGCTTAGGAATGCACTAATGAAAACTAGTCTGGGTTGATCATCGGTCCCTAAGTTGATTTCTTTAAGTTGATCAACGGTAGCCTGCCCCCCCCCCCCCCTCTTCTAGTGTTGGTGGAGCTTTCTCGATGTCATCTGGTTGTTCAGAGTCAGGTTCCTCTTCAATAGTGATGTGGTATGAAGTAACACAAGATGATTCGCCAATGTCTTCTGTTTTATCCACTTCTTTTGCTTGATTAGTGAATACAACGGTTCGCCTTCGAGCTTTTAATGTAACATCATTGGTGACATCTACCTCTATCTTACGTTTCATTCGCGAAGGTACTAGGCTTTGAACTTCACTATTATTCACCACGTTGATGTTACTGTCTTTCGAGATTGAGGTTGTGGAGATTTTCTTCTTTGGTTATGAAAGCTCATTCTATTAAAAACAAAGGTACGAGGCAAATTGTTGACATGAGAATTTGAAACATTTGACTTTTGGCTTGACAACCTGTTGAATACAGATATTCGATCACATGGAGCTCCTATACAATCGAAGACTGATTTTTGATGCATAGTCTGTTGGTTTTGTTCATCGTCAACTTCTTCAAACTCAATGTATAAAATGTTTGACTTCTTATCCTTTTTGTGATTTGAATTCGAAGTGGCTCAGAAGCTACGAAACCGAGACCGGACTTGGGTGGAATGATCTTATGCCCTTGTTCTTTCAACTTCTTCTGTGTCTCATTGAGGCCATGCACTTTTTCACTAGTGACCTCATAATTTAGTTTTCCAAGGTTTGCAGGATTTGTAAAATCATACCCCGACTTAGCCATGAGTTGGTATGCTTTAGGATCGAATCCTTCACCAGTCCTTTGTTTTGGAGGTGATCCATGATCGACCAGAGATTGAGAATGTCGCACGAACCCTTTTAAAGGAGACTTGGAAGGCAAAGACTTTTGAATCTTGGTGAGAGGAAGAGTTAACTCTCCTTGCAGCTTTTGCATATCTTCTTTTTCCTTAGTTTGTGACATCTTCAATTTAAATTCCTTGGTTTCAATTATCTCGATGACAGGTGATTGCCCTTCTTGTCGTTGAGATTTCGGAACATACTTTAAAATAAGCTTCGTCCCATGTGCTTTTATCGAGACCCCTCGCGTTTTAGCTACCTTTACAATGTCTGTCACTGAAACATCTAATGGATCACTTAACGCTTCTTTTGTTTTTGTAGATTGAATCTCTTGTGTAAACGGATGGCTTGGGATGGGCACTTCCGAAGGTGTATCAGGATCGATATAGAACTTGGCATCGGCAAAATGAGATTCTGCTTCTGTAAATGGTTTATGGTCCGCCACAACCGTTTGTACGCCATTTTTGTAAAATTTGAAGCACTGATGAAGAGTCAATGGAATGACACCATTACTATGTATCCAAGGCCTTCCCAACAACAAATTATAGGACATCTTTGTATCAATAACATGGAATAAGGTTTCAGCTTAGAGCTCGTCAATAATTAGTTTTGCCCGAATCATGCCAATAGCTCTCTGTCCTCCTTGGTTAAAACCTTGATTAATAAGACGGCTACGAGATAACTCGTCGACTGTGATGCCGAGATTTTTCATTGTAAATTTTGGCATGAGATTCACCGCTGATCCACCATCAACAAGAATTCGAGTAACTCTTTGTTCCTTTATGTAACTGGAAACGAAAAGAGGACAATTGTGCGGCTTCGAACCCAATTGAAGATCTTCGTCAGTGAAAATAATTGGTGCATAACATGAATCTAGCGTACCTCCGACTACTTCATCGTTATCGGAATTTTTAATGATGGCAGCATCCTTTGCATGATTCTCCACAGTCTGGGCTTCATCTTGATCCTTGCTATTCTCACCATCAGGGCCCGTTTTAGTTGAAACTATGTAAGCTGTCACAACTTCGTCATCTAGATATCCTTCTAGAAAAAACTCTTGCAAAGTAATAGGTTTCTGGATCCTTTGGCTTATAGAGGCGTGTTTGG